CATAATATTTCTAGTTCTAGATGGGTGTTCAGCTCATTGGCTCACATTGAATCAGTCTAGATGCATTTAATTTTTACTATTTAATGAATTGACATTCCTCACACAAGATCGATTGTTTGTCCTGGTCCATTCAACACGTCTATTAAAGATTTGCTTCTTTACCATTTCAAATGATCATAGTAAATTCAAAAACCTGCGCATTAACCATTCTTCAGGAATTGTTTTCCCACTTACAAAACATTAGGCAAAACTCTCTACACACAACAACAACAAAATTACATTTATAGAGCGCCTTTCAAGTCGGGAGGATGTCCCAAAGCGCTGAACAGTCAGGTGTCGCGGCCCGAGTGTGGGGGAGGGGTGGTGTAGGGGTGAGGGAAGGCAGAGAGGTGGGAGGGAGACCAAAGGCACGATCGAAGAGAAGGGTCTTGAGACCAGCCTTGAAGGATGCAAGGGAGAAAGCGAGGCGAAGGGACTGTGGGATGGAGTTCCAGAGTGTGGGGGCAGAGAGGCTGAAAGTCCGTCCAGCAATGGTAGGGCAGGTCGGGCGGGAGACATGGAGCAGGTTGGAGTCTGATGAATGGAGGGAGCGGACAGGTTGGTAGGGAGTCAGCAGGTCAGAGAGGTAGGAGGGGGCAAGGCCATGGATGGCCTTAATGGTGAGGACGAGGATCTTGAACTCAATCCTCTGGGGGATGGGGAGCCAGTGGAGTCGGGCGAGGGTGGGAGTGATGGGGTCATAGTGCCTAGTGCGCGGGAGGACACGAGCTTCAGAATTTTGGATGATCTGCAGCTTGTGAAGGGAAGTGTTGGGAAGGCCGATCAGGAGGGAGTTCCTGTAATCAAGCCTTGAGGTGACGAATGCTTGAGTGAGGGTTTCGGCAGCCTGAGGGGTGAGGCAGTGCGGAGTCTGGCAATGTTGCGGAGGTGGTGGTAGGCAATGCCGGTCATGGCACGGATGTGGGGAAGAAAGGATAGTTCAGGGTCAAATAAGACACCCAGGTTCCTGACTGATTTAGTGAGGTTGAGTGTGCAGCCATGGAGGCTGCAAAGTATATCACACACAGTCATTTCTCTGTAAATTATTTGGGACAAAATCTGAATTTCTTTAGAATGTTTGAGAAAACTGAGCAAGCAAAAAATTCCTTTTGCATCAAAAATGAACAAAATTATAATTGACCTATATTCTCAATTAGATACCTAACAAACCCTCAATTAGATACCTTACAGGAGCTGGTGTTCCATAGGGGGGGTATAATCATAGTAATCCTTGCATTTGATATAGTGCCATATCGTGCCACTGAGTATTCTCAAAGCCCTTCACAGGACATACTGTAAAGTGACTGTGTATTTTGTGAGCGATTGTGGCAGCCGATATGCTCACAGCAACATCCCACAAAGTGCCATGGAGCAAGTGGCCAAGCTCTGCAGTGATTGATAAGTTTCTGAAGTTTGGTGCTAAAATCTGGTTAGCCTTTACTCAGCTTGGGCTTCCAACACCCATGTTAGTCTGGTGGAAGAGAGGTGGGCACTTGTTTAAGTAAAGGATCAAATATAAGCAACTAGCTTTGGCATCTGGCAAATGTGGCAGCCTCAGTTGGGAAGCAAGCAAAGTGTGCCAGAAGTGCAATTGAAAAGTCGAGTCATTTTGATTTTTTGGGCAAGAATTCACTTTTACTTAACTAAAAATATTAAGTTTTTGTACATGATTTCTCTTTTACTGTACATTGCGTGGCTAACACTTCTACGGGGTTTCGAATCAGTGGGTGTGTCCCAATATAAAAAGACAATCCATAAGTCTTTTCGTCTCTTCTATTTCTGTAAATAATCCATATTGAAAATAAAATCTTTCTTGGAAGTCGCAAAAATGGTGAAATAATTCAAATCAGGGATGATACAGGTGCAGACTAATTCACCTGGTAAAATCTTTAGAGCAGGCTGCAAGAATCCTGGGCTTCTTTCAGGATTCACCATTTAACTGGCTACCCAAGTCTCTTGGAAGTCAGTTTTCAGAGCGCTTCTTTCCCAATTCCACCCTTTGGATGAGACATTAAACCAAGGCACCGACTGCCTGTTCAGGTAGATGTTAAAGATCCCATGGCATGATTTGAAAAGAGAAGGGAGTTTCTCCCGGTGTTCTGACCAACAATCCCCTTGATAAAATCAGTCATTAACTTCATGGCTGTTTGTGGGACATTGCTGTGCGCAAATTAGCATTCATCCGCACATATCAAATGTGAGGATTATTATTTATTATTATTTTGCTGGGGATGAATCCGAGTCATCCAGGCTGGACCAACACACCAAATTGGCAGCCAGCTTGGATGGTTGAACATGTAGGACTATTGCTCAGTAATGCTGGCGGATCTCCAAAAATGGGCAAAGTACAAAACCCCTCAATAAATAATAATCCTTGCATTTGATATAGTGCCTTTCAGGTCAGGAAGAGATCTCAAAGCTCTTCACGGGATTCACTGTAAAGCATTGTGACTGCAGATTTTTTAAGTGAACATGCAAGCGTTAACAACTCAAACCACAGTATACAGAAATAAAAACAGAAGTTGCTGGGAACACTCAGCATGTCAGGCAGCATCTATGGAGAAAGGAAAGTGAATTAACGTTTCACATCGATAACCTTTCGCCAGAACTGATGAAAGGTCACTTTTTTCAGAGTGCTTGTTTAACAATTCCGCCCTTTGCATGAGATATTAAACCAAGACACCATCTGTCTGCTGAGTGTTCCCAGAGACTTCTGTTTTTATTTCAGATTTCCAGCATCTGCAGTATTTTGCCTACAGTATACTCAAGTGCTGTAAAAGTGCTAAGAAAACAGCATTTCTACCATCACCTATCCTAAATATACTAAGTGTGCCTTTGATTGCCTATGGAGGTATTGTATTTAACCACAACCAACAATAAAGATTTGACTCATAGAAACACGGTAGATAAATACTTCACAGCTTTCTTTGTGTAAAGAGGTTATAAACATTTTGGTCTGCAACAAGTTTTTTAAAGCTTTTTTTGCAAGCAGCTGCTAAGCCCAAAGACACAAGTTTATATAGACCGCACATACAGTATTTCATCCAGGCTTCCTAACAGAACCAGATTTTGTTCTCAACAACAACAAGATTACAATTGTATAGCGCCTTTCACGTTGGGAGGATGTCCCAAGGCGCTGGGCAGGCTTTTGTCACTTCTCAGCTGGACTACTTTAATGCCCTCCTTGCTGGTCTCCCATCCACTACCATTCATAAAATCCAAATCATTCAAAACTCTGCCACCCACATTCTCACCCGCACGAAACTCCGCTCCCCGATCACCCCAGTCCTCGCCAGACTGCACTGGCTGCCTATCCCCAAAAGGATCGATTTCAAGATCCTCACTCTTGTATTCAAGTCCCTGCACTCCTCTGCACCCCCCTACCTCTCTGACCTCCTCTCTCCTCAAAACAGTACCCGTTGCCTTCGTTTCTCCGGGTCTGGCCTTCCCCTCATCCCCTGCTCCACCCACGGCGAATGTGCTTTCAAGCCACTATGCCCCGAAGCTCTGGAACTGCCTTCCTCACTCCCTTCGCCTCGCTCCCTCCCTTCCTCTTTTCAGGTCTGCTGAAGACCTTACTTTTCGACCGCGCCTTTGGTCACCTTCCTCCCCCCCCCCTGGCTCGGTCCCGGGATCCCTTACTGTGAAGCGCTCTGAGATGCCGTACGGTGTGGAGGGTGCTATATAAATCCAAGTTGTTGTTGTTGACAGTGTACAGCATTTCAGACCCGAGCTGAGGTCAGGGGGAGGGGAAAAGTTTCCGACTTCAAAGTTGCACACTCAGGAAAACAACTTTCTGTGAGACAATCTCCTGAAACATCAGTTCACATCTCGTAGTGTAATTAGCTGAAGCTCAGAAACTGCGTCCTGTACTTGTGCTTAGGAAGACTAAGCAAGAGATTTGTGTAGCACTGATCGACGTTATAAGAGAATCATTCATCAGATTTAAAATGGAAGATTGCCTGTAAAATAAAAACAATGGGGTCGAACTTGTCTGACAACGCTCATCAACTTTTGTAAGGAAGTGGCATCCCAAATAGACCTTGGGAAGCCATATCATTTGGTGCACTTAAACTTCCAAAAATGTATTTGACAAAGTACAAGTATCACACGAGACTCCTTCACAATCTGATACCACTGGATATCAAGGGCAAAATATTGGCAGAGAGAGAAAGGCAGAGGGTAGTTGTTCAGGGAGCTATATCAAAATGGTGTTGGGGTGGGGGGGAGAGAAAAAGAGTTGGCAGGGTACCTTAAGGATCTGTACTGGAATCCCTACTGTTCATTGTATATACCAGGAATAGAGAAATTTATATCAAAATTTGCAGATGACACAAAGTTAAGAGGCACAATAAATTGTATAGAAGGGAACAGGTTGTTACAAAAGGATTTAAACAGATTAAGTGAGTGGGCAAAACTGTGTCAAATGGACTTTAATGTGGGGAAGTGTGAGGTCATCCACTGTGGATCCAAAAACAGCAAAAGAGAATATTTTCGAAATGGTGAGAAACTAAGAACTGTGGAAGAGCAAAGGGATTTGGGTATCAACATACACATATCACTAAAAACAAACTCACTCATAAAAAGTTATCAAAATGGTTACCAGGAAGAGTGGTTGAGGTCAAGACACTGGATTCGTTTAAAAACAGCTTGATGCTATGGTGGGAGGACGGTAGCATGGCATTTTTGTGAGGATGAGATCAGATGGGCCAAAGGACCTTCTTTATCCAAACTTTTCGGGAACAGACTAGCAAAATATTCTTTCTCCAGTGTAGATCTTTAGTGACTGGTTGCAGTAAAATTGCAATTTTGCAATTTTAAAAACAATGATTTCTTCAATATACCGATAGCACAAATTCAGCAGAAGGGTGGAGTGGTAGTATTTAAACTGTTAATCTGTAAAATTGTATTTGAAGCTCCAAATCAACTCGGTAGGGAAATACAGATAAAATATCACTTACCCGCACGTGACAGTGATTTGTAGCTGTGCCAACCGTGTCTTTAGTGATCAAACCTATAAATTTAAAAGAGGGGAAGAAAAGATAAATAATTAATTCTGATTTTTCAATATTTGTCCTGCCTATAAAACAGTTAATAAAACTGGAGCAATACTTTTGCATTTAGCTTCCAAAATCTTTTAAATTTATCATTTCTAGAGAACAGACTATTTTTCCATGATGGCATACTCTACATTTGGTTAAGGGCACTCCCAGGCCAGGTATAGTCTTGCCAGTTACACAGTGAAATTCCAACTAATCTGTCTCAAATCCTAATTTCAGTACAACACTCTTTCGCTCTTTACTTACACATCACAGGAGTCCTGTAGCTCAGTGGTTAGAGCACTCGCTTTGTAAGCGAGAGACCTGAGTTCAATTCCAGGCAGGTCAGGGCGAAACCTTGGGCAAGTTTCCTTACTCCAGACGCCAGATAATAATCCCTCCAAAACCAAAAATAATAATAAATTGGTCATTTTCAATCCACGACTGTTTGTGGGACATTGCTGTGCGCAATTGGCTGCCGCGTTCGCCCACAAATATACAGTCAATTCACTTTACAGTGTGTTCTGTGAAGCGCTTTGGGACGTCCTCCCGACGTGAAAAGCGCTATATCAAATGCAAGGATTATTATTATTATTATTATCATCCTTCTTGCTCTCTAAAATAGATAATAATCCTTGAATTTAATACAGTTCCTTATCACGTCATTGAGACGTCTCAAAGCACTTCACAGAATATAAGAGATGCAAGACGAAAGAAGACCAAGGTCCATCTAGTTTGCCTTCCACCTTCCTGGCGGTTGCATGAATATATGCCCAAACTATCTATGTACTATAAGAAAGTAAACTTGGAACAGCCATCTCAAACAATTAACAATAGTTTGCTTTGACCAACCACAAAGTCAAAATTACCGTCCCCCCCACCACCCCAAGAAAACACAAGCAATATTTTATTGTAATGCCATTTTTGATGATTGTTATAATATATACTGTAAAGGAATTGATTGTATATTTTGTGGGTGAAATGTGGCAGCCAATTGCCCAAAGGTCGTTGATTGAGTAACCAAATTAATACAATTTTTTTGGGAAGGGATTATTACCCCCAGACATGATCCATTCATTCAACTAACAACCGGGTTCCTACTTACTCTGACTTAAAAAAAATGACTTCTTTGAGTGTCCCTATGGTCACCTCCCTTCCCCCCTCACAATTCTTGGTGCACTTTATAGGTGTAAACTCTGAGCCATTACCATATGTAAAGGGCATTGCATAAATGCAAGTTGTTGTAATAATCTATTTACATAAGAAAGTAAACTAGGAACAGACACTCGAGTGCTTGTTGTAAAAATAATAATAATAATCCTTGCATTGGATATAGCCCTTTTCACGTCTTCTCGACATCTCAAAGCGCTTCACAGAATATGCTGTAAAGGGAATTGACTGTATATTTGTGGGCGAAACGCGGCAGCTAATTGCGCAACGCAGTGTCCCACAAACAGTCGTGGATTGAAAATGACCAATTTATTATTGTTTTGTTTTGGGGGATTATTATTAGGCGTGTGGAGTAAGGAAACTTGCCTAAGGTTTCGCCCTGACCTGCCTGGAATTGAACCCAGGTCTCTCGCTTGCCAGACGAGTGCTCTAACCACTGAGCTACAGGACTCCAAAAATCCAGGGGAATATTTAGGTAACGAACCCAGAAGATTGGGTTACAAGAAAGGTCACATTATATGCAAAACATGAAAAAAAACATCTGATTTATGGTCAGTCAGGTTACCACTAGCGAAGCTTCCCACAAGTTGCATGATCATGAGCTATGCAAAGCTGCAATGCGCAAATAGAAACAACCAGGAAATTGGCCAGATGTTTAGCATAGTAAGCTGGCTAGCCAGCAGCAAAGCCAGGTGTACTGAACTTCCGGCTAGAGCAGGCCACAGCACACCAGCACCATAGCGGATGAAAGGGTGGGGGAGAAGAGAGTTTGAGCGAGTTATTACACACACCTACACATACACACTCAACTCAGCTTTGGACCTTCAAAAAAAACAACATGAAACACAGCCACCTCGAATATTTAACAATAGTTTGCTTTGACTAACCACAAAGTCAAAATTACCTCCCCCAACACCCGCCCAAGAAAACACAAGCAATTTTTTTATTGTAATGCCATTTTTGATGATTGTTAATGGAATGTTTTTCCACCAACATTAAAAAACACCTCATTTCAATGTATAAAATATGGCCTCCCTGTGTTGGTATACTGAAATATGCAACAATTTGCACTGATATAGATCTTTCACATAAGGAGAATGTCTTAAAGCCCAAGACTCAATGACTGAAGAGGAACCCAAAGTGGAAGGGAGATGGGAGAGGTAGTGTTGGCAGCCAAAAGAGCAGTCAAGGAGATATATTTCTAGTTGAAGGAGTGAGGTGGAGGGATGGGAAGAGAGTCTTGGAGGACAGGAGCAAACGGACTGAATGTTCATCTGCTGATGTTGGAGGGGAGGGCATGAAGTAGGACAGAGTGGGATAGATAAGATTCAAGCGTTTTGTGACGCTAACCCATGTGGAGGGCGCTAAATTAATGCAAGTTGTTGTTGAGTTGGAGGTGCAATGAGAATGGTCTGGGGAGTAGATTACAACAACAATTTGTATTTATATAGCGCCCTTCACATGGGGTAGCGTCCTTGAGCGCTTGATAGGATCCTGGAGATTGGTAGTAAATTTACGTTGAGTTTTTAAAAGTTCGTAAATTTTATTTTCCATTAACAATTTGTTCTCAGAACAACTGGAAATTGAAATACCTGTTGGGTTTGATATACGTTTCTTATTTTTAATTTACGAGTTGTGTAGGAGTTCGCACAAGACAATTGCTAGAGATTTGGCACAATTTCTGACAATGTTTATCACTTTCAAATGGTGATGGATAAACCAGTTAAACTCCATTCACGCTTGGCTAATTGGGCTGCAGGGGACAACTCCAAGGTCTAACAATTTAGCAATTGCAAAGATGCTCAAGTGACAGAGAGCAATACATGGGTGTCACATTCATGACAACAGGCAATCCTCCATTCTTGTTTTCTCTCTCTCTCACTTACATTTTACTGATACCACAATAATAATATTTGTATTTGATATAGTGCCTTAACACGGTCATCAAAACATCTCAAACTGCTTCACAGGATTCACTGTAAAGTGTAGTGGCTGCATTTTGTCAGAGACCACGGTAGCCAATTTGCACACAGCAACATCCCACAAACTGCCATGGAGTAAGTTAACAATTGTTATCATCTGGAGGATTGTTGGACAAGACACCCTTCTCTTTTTGAACAGTGCCAGGGGATCTTAAAGTCCACATGAACAGGCAGACAGGACTTGGTTTAAACGTCTCATATGAAGGATGGCTACTCCAATAATCCCAATAGATATATTGATGTGACAGCCTAAACTGTGTAAATTCCGGTGTTGGGTGTGATCCACAACCCTCTGATTCAGAGGCAAGAGTGCTACTAACTGAACCAGGCTGACACAGTCATAACAAGTGTCGCAAAACACTGCTGAGAGGTTTCAATTGATTTGGCACTTGAAAAGAAAGCAGCACCAATGTGATCTCTAAGATTGATTTCAAATTTCTGAATTAACAAAATGTGAATGTCAAAGTTCCGTTACATAAAAGTGGGATTAGAAACGATGACTGCAAAAACACGATATTTTAAATTGTATGCTAATGTCCAATTAAACCTCTTTCAATGGTACAGCTTCAATCACACTTTTCTAGATTTACACAAGAATCACTGGCTTTGCTGGGCCATATTACAGATGCTCATCAGGTACAATAGCCCTTTCAGTTCAAAAAGAGGCAGCTGTGGATTTAGAGCTCATCAGAAAGCAATGTGAAGGTTAATGAAATTGCATTGAGGTTGTTCGTTTAATTGCTTCACAATTTGAAAGAAATACTGTTATTTTAAATACACGGGGGGAAAAAATGGCACTGCTTATATTAAATTCTCCATCGGCGAATTATTTGTCCATTTGAATTTGTATATGGAACCATGCAGCAATATCGCCCTCTCACCTTCACCCCATCTTCTTAGCACATTCTTTAATGGATCTCTGTTCAGACAAGTTTGCTCTACTTTTCTTGCCGAGCTCAAGCGATGCATGCTTCATCTGAACGTGAGGTAAATTCTCTCCAAAGGAACTAATGTGCACTTGTTCTTGAATTTGTTCAAACTAAAATCAATCTGTTCATGTACAAATTAAACCAATTTGTGTACCCAATTGGCCTTGTTCCTTTCTAGATCATGATATTTCATTTAAATATTATAATGCTGTAGACAATTTCATAGTGCACTCAGATTCTGGATGAGCCTATCCCATATATAATATCTGTTGCTCACCTCAGTTATCCTCTATCCTCCTCTATGAATTAAAAGTGCTCCTATACAAAATGAAATCATAAAAGTGCTGTCTGAGATGGAAACAATTAAGTGACTGACAATTACTTAGCCTTATTAGATTCAGATTCACCAGTGAATCACCCTAATGCATCACTCTAAGCCCTCAGTGGGAATCCTCATCAAGAAAAACAGAGTGATCTCAGCTGGAAAGTTTTACATCTAATTCTGACACTTCTGAGATCACAAAATGCCATCCCAACACTGTAAAGCTGCTTAGTAATAACAATAATCCTTGCATTTGATGTAGTGCCTTATCACATCGTTGAAGGGTCTCAAAGTGCTTCACAGAATATACTGTAAAGTGGATTGACTGTGTTTGTGGGTGAAACAATTTAACCTTGTCTAAAACCTGTTTACATGAATGTAATTTGTTGTTGTTTTTGTTTAACCCCGTCCCTAAAATCTGAAGCACCCAACATTAAGTGCACTTTGAGCTGCCCATCTTGGATTAGATGTGTTGTCTGCAGATGTTATCTTCGATATACTGTACATTTCATGGACACAAGCTTTCCATGCTGTTAATCCTTTTTCTAAAATGAGTGTTCCAAAATCCTTCA